ATCGAGAGTTTCTTGACCCAATGGGCAGCAACCTTTGTCTATGCCGTATGTTGGTCTCAAAATCTGATCAAGGGTTGTTTGGGCTATGGGATAAAGTGGTGGGCTCATGGTCCATAGAATATAAAACCATTGTAGACACTTTTCTGGATTGACCTGGACCAGCCCTTGATTCTGTCAAGACATGATCAGCTGTATGGACCCAATGACCAGTAATCTTGATCTATGTCAGATAATTGGTTAGGGTTTTTTTGGACTATGGGATATATTGGTGGACCCACGTTTCATTCAGCAGCAAGCCCATGTTCCAACCATTGTAGACACTTTTCTGGATTGACCTGGTCCAGCCCTTGATTGTGTCAAGACATGATCAGCTGTATGGAGCTTCGGGACCCAATGACCAGTAATCTTGATCTATGTCAGATAATTGGTTAGGGTTTTTTTGGACTACGGGATATATTGGTGGACCCATGTTTCATTCAGCAGCAAGCCCATGTTCCACCCATTGTAGACACTTTTTCTGGATTGACCTGGTCCAGCCCTTGATTGTGTCAAGACATGATCAGCTGTTTGGAGCTTCGGGACCCAATGACCAGTAATCTTGATCTATGTCAGATAATTGGTTAGGGTTTTTTCGGACTATGGTATATATTGTTGGGCCCATGTTTCATTCAGCAGCAAGCCCGTGTTCCACCCATTGTAGACACTTTTCTGGATTGACCTGTCCAGCCCTTGATTGTGTCAAGACATGATCAGCTGTATGGAGCTTCGGGACCCAATGACCAGTAATCTTGATCTATGTCAGATAATTGGTTAGGGTTTTTTCGGACTATGGTATATATTGTTGGACCCATGTTTCATTCAGCAGCAAGCCCGTGTTCCACCCATTGTAGACACTTTTCTGGATTGACCTGGTCCAGCCCTTGATTGTGTCAAGACATGATCAGCTGTATGGAGCTTCGGGACCCAATGACCAGTAATCTTGATCTATGTCAGATAACACTGTTCAACAAATTTTTATTTTTTGCCAGTTTTGGAAACAAAAGGATCCATTTCTTAATGAATTTCACATTCTGAGTTCAAATATAACAATGAAATTTGTCAATTGGCTCTAGTTTTTCTGTAAACGGAAAGTTTTCTACTATAGGCGTAATGACTACATAATGCACAATAATTATATAGATAGATGTCTTTCCACAAATATAAAGCAAGTGATATGACTACATAACAAAGCCTAAATGGCATAATATATTGCATAGGATTACCAAGAAAAATTATAGCCATAAACTAAGTTGAATCATTTTAATACTTAGGATTCTCACTAGTTTTGTCTTCAGTTTGTGTCGGTTTTGCTTCTCTTGGCTTTTCTCTTGTATTCGAGGAAAGGGCTATCTCTTACAACTGCACGTGACTACACGCTTCAGGTTCTTCCTCACTTGACTCAACCACGAAGGATTCTGGTGCTTTAGGAATTGGTAGCCCCTCTCCATGAGGAACTGGACGTATTGCCGATGGAATATTTGGATAGTGCACAGATAACTTTTTCTTCTTATTTAGCCCTTTTACAATTGGCGGCACCATACAAAAGTAACAATTACTAACATGATCTGTTGGCTCTCTCCAAATCATTGGCACAGCGAAAGGCATAGATGCCTTTTTTCCATTCAACCATTGCTCCAGTGCCGTCCCACAAGAATTGCAGCATATATGTGGTGCCCAGCTCTTGTCCTGGTCTCCTATCTTGCAGCCAAAATACAAGTTGTAGGCTTTCTTAATCATTCCTGTTATCCTCCTTTTTTGTGAGATAAAAGTTATTTCACCGCAGATATAGCAGAAATTATCTGCTTTATTCACACAAGTTCGAGGCATTACTGAGTAGCCTATATAAGCATAAAACGAAATGTAAAGACGAACTCCAATCAGCTACAGATACTGCAGCTTTTATGCAGTGAAGTGATGCAATTAAAGGCTAATATTGCATCATCTCAGTATACATGCAATTTTCTATTGGTCACCAGTATCAATTGCGCAATATGCAGCTGAAGTTGCATCATAATTTTGAATGGCTTACGTCATTAGATGGGTGAATATATCATGGAAACTAGAGCCAATCAACATTTTTTAGGGTCATTTTCGTTTTCAGCACCCCAAAATTATGTAAGATTAACTAATTTTATGCCCAAAACTTTTTACCTGTTGAACAGTGTAATTGGTTAGGGTTTTTTTGGACTATGGGATATATTGGTGGACCCATGTTTCATTCAGCAGCAAGCTCATGTTCCAACCATTGTAGACACTTTTCTGGAATGATCTGGACCAGCCCTTGATTGTGTCAAGATATGATCAGCTGTAAGGAGCTTCGGGACCCAATGACCAGTAATCTTGATCTATGTCAGATAATTGGTTAGGGTTTTTTTGGACTACGGGATACATTGGTGGACTCATGTTTCATTCAGCAGCAAGCCCATGTTCCAACCATTGTAGACACTTTTCTGGATTGACCTGGTCCAGCCCTTGACTGTGTCAAGACATGATCAGCTGTATGGAGCTTGGGGACCCAAGGACCAGTAATCTTGATCTATGTCAGATAATTGGTTAGGGTTTTTTTGGACTACGGGATATATTGGTGGACTCATGTTTCATTCAGCAGCAAGCCCATATTCCAACCATTGTAGACACTTTTGTGGAATGACCCGGACCAGCCCTTGATTGTGTCAAGACATGATCTACCCATTATGGACACTTTTCTGGATTGATTTAAACCAGGACTAGAACTGATGGCCAGCAACCTTTGTCATTGCCAGGAACCTATAAAAGATGTTGATACCCAATTGTTTTTGGCACCTCCAGCATCTTCTGGGGGTCTTGAAAAGGAGAGCAGTTTGATACACTGTCTGTTTTGTTATCGCTACATCGGATGTGAGTCCTTTATAACTTGTACATATTTAGGCTCTCCTTGTTTATTTCAGCCTTATCTCATGTCAGACAAACACGACTTTGGCATTTGTCAATTGTCAGGCTTATGTTTATGGTTCTGTTTTTTGTTGGATTTTAATCATAGCTCAGTCTTGAATGACAATAAACATTTTTAACTTCTCTGTTCTTAGGCTTGTGCAAGAAAATACCCACAAAAGTGTCTTTTTCCTCCGCATTTCATTTCCCAGATGATGTCAAATGATGGTGGCCAACAACGGCACAAGGCTGGGTACACCGAGGAACATGATGAAATGAATTGGTGGCCCTGTCAGTTACCTAACGTCCAACATCCTTTAATTGAAAAATTGAAGGAGATGGGCAAAAAATGTGCTGTCAGTTCAGATGCAGCCATTGCTTGGCATTCTGACACATTCAGTTCCCAAATTATATGCGCTTATTATTAATATTATTATTTATATAGCGTCAAAAGGTTTGCTCAGCGCTGTACATTAGCGAGGGGGACAGAACATGAGACAATACAGTAACAATACAATACACGAGGGGTTCGAGGGCTCTGCCCCTTGGAGCTTACAATCTAGGAGGGAGGGGGTAGAGGTACAGGAGGAAGTGGCTGTGGGGGTGGAGTCAGGAGTGGTAGATGAGGAGAGATCGGCTGTTAGGTGACGGGGTAGCTTCCCTGAAAAGGTGGGTATTCATGCGCCTAAAGGTGAGGAGCGTAGGTGGCAGTCGGATGGATTGGGGTAGTGAGTTCCAGAGGATGGGGGAAGACCTGGAGAAGTCCTGCAGTCGTCGGGCGTGGGAGGAGGAGACCAGGGAGCTAGAAAGTAGGAGGTCTTGTGAGGAGCGGAGTGACCGTGTTGGGTGGTATTTGGGTATCAGGTTGGTGATGTAGTTCGGGGCAGTATTATGAATAGCTTTGTACGTCAGTGTTAGTAGTTAGTTATTATGATGACCAACAATAGCACTAGGCTGGGTACACTGAGGAACCGGATGAATTCCACAATGGGGAGGGGAGTCCTGTCAGCTTCTTAAAGCCCAGCATCCTTTCATTGAAACATTGAAGGATCTGGGTGGAAACTTGTTGGTAGAACGGATGCAGCCACTGTTTGGGTATTCAGGTGGCTGTGGTTGTCAGAATACGATAGCCTCACCTGGGGACTCTGCGCTGTATAGCCTGGATGGGGAAATCTGTTATATTCTGTGTGTAGCACCCTCCTAGTTAGTTAGGGGGAGCTATCCGATTATTTTTTAGTCAGAAGGGCTGAGTAGCAGCCTGGGAAATAGTCATCTGAGTCACATTTGGGTCAGGGATGAGAGGCTCTGCAGATCAGTTCCTTGATACCTCCCCTTGCTCTAGAATCTTGGAGAAGATTCTAAAATCAGTAGGTGGGTATGAGGAGGGGCTGGTCTGCATTCTCAGGGGACTCTGGTTAATCCCCAGGAAGGAGGCTTAGCATGGGACCAGAGCAGCCCTAAAGTATGACTGAGCGTGCTCAGCAGCAGAAGAGTTCAGGTGGAAGATGTGAGTAAGCTGAGGTGAGGGCCTGGGAGGGGGCCCAGTGGGAAGGGGCCAGGAAGCTGGAAAGGAGGATCACTCAGCCTCACCAGCCCCTAGAGCTAAGACCACTTGTAGAGTCAGGAAAGGAGCCAGCCCAGCAGAAGTCCTGAAGGCAGCTACCTACCTAAATCTACTCGCAGGACTGAGACTGAATGAGCAGTCCTACACCCCCCGGCCAGTTAAAGTGTTACTAAACCCACAACAGTACAATCAGTCTGCAGATGCAGTAAAACGTGCTTGTTATACTCACTGTGGAACTTAAACGGTTAATCCTCTGCATTGTGTAAAATCCGGTCTTCTTTGATCTTCCCCTTCTTCTACTGTCCCCCCTTATCTCCTGATAAGACACTCTGCACATGCTCAGTTTGGTGTGTATTGATAGAGAGGTTTTTATTCTTGGGAGAGTGCATGTGATCAGCGCACGGCCAATTAGCACTGTCCAGACAGAGGTCAGGGATTCTGCATCTTCCTAGAGCAGAATGAAAACTCCTCCTACATGCTTTAACTGGTGCTCTGCTGGACACTGATAGAAGTCACAAGACTGCTCTATACTGCTGATGAAAAAAGGGATTTTGCAGTTTATATTTACTAAAATAATTGCATTTCCATGTTCTGTTTACTGTGGGAGACTAGATATAGTGAATGCGGGGTCCGGGGAGAGCAGATATAGTGAATGCGGGGTCCGGGGAGAGCGGATATAGTGAATGGGGGGGTCCGGGGAGAGCGGATATAGTGAATGCAGGGTCCGGGGAGAGCGGATATAGCAAATGCGGGGTCCAGAGAGAGCGGATATAGTGAATGCGGGGTCCGGGGAGAGCGGACATAGTGAATGCGGGGTCCGGGAGAGCGGATATAGTGAATGCGGGGTCCGGGGGGGAGCGGATATAGTGAATGCAGGGTCCAGGGAGAGCGGATATAGTGAATGCAGGGTCCGGGGGAGAGCGGATATAGCGAATGCGTGGTCCGGGGAGAGCGGATATAGCAATTGCGGGGTCCGGGGAGAGCAGATATAGTAAATGCAGGGTCCAGGGAGAGCGGATATAGTGAATGCGGGGTCCGGGGAGAGCAGATATAGGGAATGCGGGGTCCGGGGAGAGAGGATATAGTGAATGCGGGGTCCGGGGAGAGCGGATATAGTGAATGCGGGGTCCGGGGAGAGCGGATATAGAGAATGCGGGGTCCGGGGGAGAGCGGTATATAGAGAATGCGGGGTCCGGGGAGAGCGGATATAGTGAATGCGGGGTCCGGGGAGAGCGGATGTAGTGAATGCGGGGTCCGGGGAGAGCGGATGTAGTGAATGCGGGGTCCGGGGAGATCAGATATAGTGAATGCGGGGTCCGGGGAGAGCGGATATAGTGAATGCGGGGTCCGGGGAGAGAGCGGATATAGTGAATGCGGGGTCCGGGGAGAGCGGATGTAGTGAATGCGGGGTCCGGGGAGAGCGGATATAGTGAATGCAGGGTCCAGGGAGAGCGGATATAGTGAATGCAGGGTCCGGGGAGAGCCGATATAGCGAATGCGTGGTCCGGGGAGAGCCGATATAGCAATTGCGGGGTCCGGGGAGAGCAGATATAGTAAATGCAGGGTCCAGGGAGAGCGGATATAGTGAATGCGGGGTCCGGGGAGATCAGATATAGTGAATTCGGGGTCCAGGGGAGAGCGGATATAGTGAATGCGGGGTCCGGGGAGAGCGGGATGTAGTGAATGCGGGGTCCAGGGAGAGCAGGTATAGTGAATGCGGGGTCCGGGGAGAGCAGATATAGGGAATGCGGGGTCCGGGGAGAGAGGATATAGTGAATGCGGGGTCCGGGGAGAGCGGATATAGTGAATGCGGGGTCCGGGGAGAGCGGATATAGAGAATGCGGGGTCCGGGGAGAGCGGATATAGAGAATGCGGGGTCCGGGGAGAGCGGATATAGTGAATGCGGGGTCCGGGGAGAGCGGATGTAGTGAATGCGGGGTCCGGGGAGAGCAGATGTAGTGAATGCGGGGTCCGGGGAGAGCGGATATAGTGAATGCGGGGTCCGGGGAGAGAGGATATAGTGAATGCGGGGTCCGGGGAGAGCGGATATAGTGAATGCAGGGTCCGGGGAGAGCAGATATAGGGAATGCGGGGTCCGGGAGAGAGGATATAGTGAATGCGGGGTCCGGGGAGAGCGGATATAGTGAATGCGGGGTCCGGGGAGAGCGGATATAGAGAATGCGGGGTCCGGGGAGAGCGGATATAGAGAATGCGGGGTCCGGGGAGAGCGGATATAGTGAATGCGGGGTCCGGGGAGAGCGGATGTAGTGAATGCGGGGTCCGGGGAGAGCAGATGTAGTGAATGCGGGGTCCGGGGAGAGCGGATATAGTGAATGCGGGGTCCGGGGAGAGAGGATATAGTGAATGCGGGTCCGGGGAGAGCGGATATAGTGAATGCAGGGTCCGGGGAGAGCGGATATAGTGAATGCGGGGGTCCGGGGAGAGGGGATATAGTGAATGCGGGGTCCGGGGAGAGCGGATATAGTGAATGCGGGGTCCGGGGAGAGCGGATATAGTAAATGCGGGGTCCGGGGAGAGCGGATATAGTGAATGCGGGGTCCGGAGAGAGCGGATATAGTGAATGCGGGGTCCGGGGAGAGCGGATATAGTGAATGCGGGGTCCGGGGAGAGCGGATATAGTGAATGCGCGGTCCGGGGAGAGCGGATATAGTGAATGCGGGGTCTGGGGAGAGCGGATATAGTGAATGGAGGGGTCCGGGGAGAGCGGATATAGTGAATGCGGGGTCCGGGGAGAGCGGATATAGTGAATGCGGGGTCCGGGGAGAGCGGATATAGCGAATGCGGGGTCCAGGGTGAGAGCGGATATAGTGAATGCGGGGTCCGGGGAGAGCGGATATAGTGAATGCGGGGTCCGGGGAGTGAGGAGAGCGGATATAGTGAATGCGGGGTACGGGGAGAGCGGATATAGTGAATGCGGGGTCCGGGGAGAGCGGATGTAGTGAATGCGGGGTCCGGGGAGAGCGGATATAGTGAATGCGGGGTCCGGGGAGAGCGGATATAGTGAATGCGGGGTCCGGGGAGAGCGGATGTAGTGAATGCGGGGTCCGGGGAGAGCGGATGTAGTGAATGCGGGGTCCGGGGAGAGCGGATATAGTGAATGCGGGGTCCGGGGAGAGCGGATATAGTGAATGCGGGGTCCGGGGAGAGCGGATATAGTGAATGCGGGGTCCGGGGAGAGCGGATATAGTGAATGCGGGGTCCGGGGGGAGAGCGGATATAGTGAATGCGGGGTCCGGGGAGAGAGGATATAGTGAATGCGGGGTCCGGGGGAGTGAGAGCGGATATAGTGAATGCGGGGTCCGGGGGAGAGCGGATATAGTGAATGCGGGGTCCGGGGAGAGGGATATAGTGAATGCGGGGTCCGGGGAGAGCGGATATAGTGAATGCGGGGTCCGGGGAGAGCGGATATAGTGAATGCGGGGTCCGGGGAGAGTGGATATAGTGAATGCGGGGTCCGGGGAGAGCGGATATAGTGAATGCGGGGTCCGGGGAGAGAGGATATAGTGAATGCGGGGTCCGGGGAGAGCGGATATAGTGAATGCCGGGTCCGGGGAGAGCGGATATAGTGAATGCAGGGTCCGGGGAGAGGGATATAGTGAATGCGGGGTCCGGGGAGAGCAGATATAGTGAATGCGGGGTCCGGGGGAGAGCGGATATAGTGAATGCGGGGTCCGGGGAGAGCGGATATAGTGAATGCGGGGTCCGGGGGAGAGCGGATATAGTGAATGGAGGGTCCGGGGAGAGCGGATATAGTGAATGCGGGGTCCGGGGAGAGCGGATATAGTGAATGCGGGGTCCGGGGAGAGCGGATATAGTGAATGCGGGGTCCAGGGGAGAGCGGATATAGTGAATGCGGGGTCCGGGGAGAGCAGATATAGTGAATGCGGGGTCCGGGGAGAGCGGATATAGTGAATGCGGGGTCCGGGAGAGAGGATATAGTGCATGCGGGGTCCGGGGAGAGCGGATATAGTGAATGCGGGGTCCGGGGAGCGGATATAGTGCATGTGGGGTCCGGGGAGAGCGGATATAGTGAATGCGGGGTCCGGGGAGAGCGGATATAGTGAATGCGGGGTCCGGGGAGAGCGGATATAGTGAATGCGGGGTCCGGGGAGAGCGGATATAGTAAATGCGGGGTCCGGGGAGAGCGGATATAGTGAATGCGGGGTCCAGGGGAGAGCGGATATAGTGAATGTGGGGTCGGGGAGAGCGGATATAGTGAATGCGGGGTCCGGGGGAGAGCGGATATAGCGAATGCGGGGTCCAGGGGAGAGCGGATATAGTGAATGCGGGGTCCGGGGAGAGCGGATATAGTGAATGCGGGGTCCGGGGAGAGCAGATATAGTGAATGCGGGGTACGGGGAGAGCGGATATAGTGAATGCGGGGTCCGGGGAGAGCGGATATAGTGAATGCGGGGTCCGGGGAGAGCGGATGTAGTGAATGCAGGGTCCGGGGAGAGCGGATGTAGTGAATGCGGGGTCCGGGGAGAGCGGATGTAGTGAATGCGGGGTCCGGGGAGAGCGGATATAGTGAATGCGGGGTCTGGGGAGAGCGGATATAGTGAATGCGGGGTCCGGGGGAGAGCGGATATAGTGAATGCGGGGTCTGGGGAGAGCGGATATAGTGAATGCGGGGTCCGGGGGAGAGTGGATATAGTGAATGCGGGGTCCGGGGAGAGCGGATATAGTGAATGCGGGGTCCGGGGAGAGCGGATATAGTGAATGCGGGGTCCGGGGAGAGCGGATATAGTGAATGCGGGGTCCGGGGAGAGCGGATATAGTGAATGCGGGGTCCGGGGAGAGGGGATATAGTGAATGCGGGGTCCGGGGAGAGCGGATATAGTGAATGCGGGGTCCGGGGAGAGCGGATATATAGTGAATGCGGGGTCCGGGGGGAGAGTGGATATAGTGAATGCGGGGTCCGGGGAGAGCGGATATAGTGAATGCGGGGTCCGGGGAGAGAGGATATAGTGAATGCGGGGTCCGGGGAGAGCGGATATAGTGAATGCGGGGTCCGGGGAGAGCGGATATAGTGAATGCAGGGTCCGGGGAGAGGGATATAGTGAATGCGGGGTCCGGGGAGAGCGGATATAGTGAATGCGGGGTCCGGGGGAGAGCGGATATAGTGAATGCGGGGTCCGGGGAGAGCGGATATAGTGAATGCGGGGTCCGGGGAGAGCGGATATAGTGAATGCGGGGTCCGGGGAGAGCGGATATAGTGAATGCGGGGTCCGGGGAGAGCGGATATAGTGAATGCGGGGTCCGGGGAGAGCGGATATAGCGAATGCGGGGTCCGGGTGAGAGCGGATATAGTGAATGCGGGGTCCGGGGAGAGCAGATATAGTGAATGCGGGGTCCGGGGAGAGCGGATATAGTGAATGCGGGGTCCGGGGAGATAGGATATAGTGCATGCAGGGTCCGGGGAGAGCGGATATAGTGAATGCGGGGTACGGGGAGATAGGATATAGTGCATGTGGGGTCCGGGGAGAGCGGATATAGTGAATGCGGGGTCCGGGGAGAGCGGATATAGTGAATGCGGGGTCCGGGGAGAGCGGATATAGTGAATGCGGGGTCCGGGGAGAGCGGATATAGTAAATGCGGGGTCCCGGGGAGAGCGGATATAGCAAATGCGGGGTCCAGGGTGAGAGTGGATATAGTGAATGTGGGGTCCGGGGAGAGCGGATATAGTAAATGCCGGGTCCGGGGTTTATTAACACTTTAAAGGAAAAAGAGCACTCTGGTGGGGAACCTGATTAGCTTCTTTCCCGGGGCTGTTTCAATTAAAGTGGCAGGCACTGGATTCCCTTGCCCAGGGATTCCCTCAGGCAGCTGGATAGGAAGAGGATTCTCTGGGGTCTGAAGTGGTACACCAGGAGAGGCTGGAGAGCTCTCCAAGAGTTTAAAGGCATGTTCATAGTTCCCAAGGAGTCTGTCCTTGGCATGCAGTTCCATTGGGCATCCCATACACTCCCTACCCCATCCAAGTTCAACCCCCTGTAATAAAACATAAAACCAAGCTCAAGGACTGTTTACTGACTCTAAATGCAAGTCTGAGGAAATGTGTGTCGCCTGGTTGTGCAGGACTATAGGGGGACCCAAGTCTTCAGTAAATCCCACGGGGGTAGTGCTACATGTGTGTACCCAGCTTTATCCTAGTCCAGACTGAGAGGACTAATATGACACTTGGTAGACTTGACCTAAAGGTAGTGAGATCTGGAAACGTCACTGATATGGGGTAGCACTTACAGTGAGTCCAGTCCAAACAGGAACTATGTTTGAGGGCAGATTGGCCGACTTTTATCCAAAAATGATGGATAATACAAACAAAAATTCTTTCTCTCACAAGGGGTTATCAATGTTGCATCAGTAAAACAAAAATTATTCAGCCTCCTGGCTAACACAACTATCATCTCTGAGTTGGCTTCTGGCTAGACTCACCACTATGGTTGCCACCTCATCCCTTTAAAACCGAACACAGGTTCTGAGGCAAATTTAATTACCACCTTAATCAGCCACAGAACCTGTGTAAATAATATGTGTTCGGTTTTAAAGGGATGAGGCGGCAACCCTACTCACCACGCAGTTTCCTTTAATTTTACAGCAGACTCCCCATCTCATGGAACCCAGGCTCTGAGCCTCTCCTACAGATTCCTTGGCTCTCTTACTTGCAGCTCCATTGTACACAGGCCCAGACCCTGAACTCTGATAGGAGCCCACCTGACTCCTATGCTGAGACCTCCTGTCTGCAGGTTGGAGAGCCCTGAACCACTGCTATGCCCTTGATTATAACAGGTGTGTCCAGCTGCAAACTGAGCCTGCAGGTCCCCGGTAAGACCTGGACACAGGGGTAAGGGCTTCTTCCCCTCCCAAAACCCTTGGACTCCAAACCCTGGAGAAAGCTACAAGATCAACCTTCTCCTCTCGGAAATGACATTCTGGAGCCCCTCAAACTGTATCTTTGAGAATCCTGTGTGCCTTTTGCCTGCACGGCCACAGTTGATAAGGAGGATTTATGGCCATCATGTGTTGTCCAACCAGTCAATTTTTTTCCGAAAAAAATGAGCAATTCGAGCGGGTTTAACATAATTGCTTGACTGCTGTTTGATAACCACCTTGCACCTCAGCATGGAAGATTTTTTTACTGGTTAATAGAGAAGGAGTCCTTTGGACAGCTCACCGATTTGGTATTCCCTTCAGAAACCAGCTCAGGTACCCTGTCATAATGACACAGTGCAACCAAACATGGAGTGACCATCCACCGGCCCATTCATTTAGTGACAACCTCCAATGATGGACAAGGGGACCATGCTGGTTGAAAGCAATCATGGGAAAGGGCTCTGCACTTCCTTTCTGGATAGAAGGGTGGACTGGAAATGGGCAAGTGTGTCTGATATAAGACATCCACCACTGGAATCAGACCTAAGAAACAGGTTGAAGGTACAGATTCACTGAGTTGGGTCAGCCAAATATCATTTTAGAATCTTCATTTCCAGTGTTGCTTTCTTCAAATGCTTGCAATTCACCGTAAAATGGTCAGGTATACAATTACCCAATGCAAATAAAGAAACACACCTTCGCTTTGTTCTTTTACCCAAGTTATATTCATGGTACCAGCAATCCTGAGAAAGCATGTGACCTTCTCCCATTGACAGTGCAGGGTCTGGCACCCAATCCCTAGGCCTCAGCACTGTGATACATACAACATTAGAAGGATGACAGCACTGCAAAGCTTGGGTGGGTCCAGTAAAAATGTTATTATTCATGAAATCAGAAATAACAAATTGCGGGAGCTCAGAACTCCCTCTTCATCAGAGCTTGTGTGCTGGCTGTGAATTTATATTTGTACTAGGCAGAATATGCAAAATTAAACGGATAGCATGAGAATCGGGATGCCAAAATGGAGACCCTAGTATCATTCTGTGTATTTCATTTTGCAATTGCTGTTTGGTACAAATTAGACTCCCTGCCAGAATACGGTACCTGATGAAAGGGGAGTTTTTAGACCCGAAATTCCTTGGCTTTCTTTGTGTTGTGAAAAGGAAAATTCTTACTGGATGTTATCAAGCTTTGTGATGCTCTCATCCATCTAATATTCTTAAAACTTTCTCCGGGACTCTTTGGGGTACCTTGGTTGGCAAAGAGTTGCCTCTAAAAGGTTAGATCCTGATTATCATCCAACTTGGGGTCCAACACTTCGCCAACACATATGTCAGGACCCGGGTCTGAATCTGTGACCTCTGCTGTGTTTGCCAGTATCTCTCCTTGTTGTGCCACCACAGAGGCTGGACAGCTCCTTGGACAATTCCTTGAACCTTGTTTCTTGTGAACCTTGAACTCTTCACTCTCCTCCCATGAACTTCCTATTTAAGGCATACCTTTGCACTTCCTGTTTGCCAGATTGTTGTGCTCTCTCCAGCCAATATCGAGCTCTTGTCACTCCTGCTGCTGTCTGCATCTGCACCAGGGGTGGACTGACAACTCATGGGGCCCCCGGGCAATAGGGGATCATGGGGCCCCTGTGTCCTTGCCCACACTCAAAGCACACCCAAAAAAGCCTATAAAAGGTAACAGGGGCATTTCAGGGGGCCCCTACTGATCCGGGGCCCTTGGGCAGTGCCTGGGTACTCGAATGGTCAGTCCACCCCTGATCTGCACTACTTGTTGCCAACCTTTGGCTTGTTCGTCGATTACGTTCTGCTTGGTCCCAACCTGCTATTTCTGCTACTGAACCCCAGTTTGCTCCCTTCTTGGTGGGGCGATCCTGAGGACAGTGACCTGCTACTAACACACAGCAAAACCCATCTCCACCATCAGGAGCTCTGGTGAACACAAATTAGTGTTTAAACTCGGCACCTCAGGTCAGCCCATGTCATGCACCAGGGTGACCTACTGCTGCAATTATGCAGCTGGTTGATGGGTGCCTCTATGTTGCCATAGCTACTGACCTCCTAGCCTGATCCCTTGACCATGACAAGATACCTACCACCAAGCAATGTGACATGACAGAGGAGATGATGGGATGTCAGGTGCAAGACCCAAGTAGCTCTCATCTGGGACTACTTAATTGCAGATCTTGGAATCCCTTGCCCAGAGATACCCTCAGGACAGGTGAAAGAAGAAGGATTCATCTGGGGTCTGAGAAGGTGCACCAAAGGGGACATCGGTGCTCCTTAAAGAGACAGTTGCTACTTTTTAGTCCACATTTTTGTACAGTGCAGTGTTTGCTGAGACTTTTTTCCTCAGTTTGTACATTTCATTGGGCATCCCATACACCCCTGGACCCCATCCAAGCTAACCCATAATAAAAACAACAAAAACAATCTCAAGGACTGTTTTACTGACTCTGTGTGTGAAAATGTGAAAAATGTGTGTTGCCTGGCTGTGCAGAGCTTAGGGGGACCTAACAAATTCAGCGGCCCTTAAGAGGGTGAGCACTACACCTAAAACACCTCCCACCCCCCTTCTAACTCCTATACTAACTATCCTATAAAGCAAAGATCCTTTATCTATCTAATGCTTATCTATTCTCAGGGTGCTCCGGTCTGGTCACATGATAGGCTCCCATCGGCAAGCTTCAGTATAGAGGAGGGGCAGCCAACAGTGGATGCCCCATAGTATGCCTATTGATGACAACACCGCTCAGGCTCTGCAGTTGTTGTCGGCGATCTCTCCTATTCACTACAGCCAGTGCTGGAGAGATCATGTGACAGGACCAGAGCACCCCGAGGATAGGTGAGGATGAGCATCCTCCTTCTACATGGTAGTTGGTATAGGCGTTAAAAGGGGGTGGGGGCAGAATTCAGCTTAGTTAGTTCTAGACTAGAATTCAGTTTAATTTATCTCTATAGAACTGTACATGGAACGGAGAACTGCATGGACAAGGAGACAGAAAGCGAGATATTCGAGTCAACTGATGAACTACTGTCTCAGCAAAGAAAAAAAAATCTGGGACTGAGACACTACCCCAGTAGGGGCCGCTCTAGATACAAACGTTTCATCCCAAGACCATGTAGGGCAGCCAGGCACATAGCAGCAGTCCATCCACTCTGGCTCAATAAACAGTCTCTGGAATTATCTATTTGGTAGTAGAACTTGAGAGAGGGAATCCGGGGTGGTGTAGGACACTCGAAAACAAGATATATTGCTAGCAGAGGACAGATCTCCCTTAGCTCTAGTGTGCGTGCACCTAAATAGTCCACGGTCATGGCTGATGATCATGAAGCGGAATAGATATAAAGACAGACTTGAGTAGAACACAGTTCATAGTTGGGGACCATGAACCAGAAAAAGTATAAAGGAGGACTTGAGTGGATGAGGACCATGAAGCAGATTAAAAGAGAAGTATGGACATTTTTTTTTTTTTTTCCCAATTATACTTACCTAGGTGGATGCAGTATTGGTCCACTACTGTGTCTGTCCCCCACCAGCTCTAAATGTGAGAACTCAGCGATCACATGACCGAATGAACACCACTCCTGTGATCCACAGGAGAAGTGCAGCCAAAAGAGCTTTGACTGTACTTCTCCATTATGTATAACTGAGGCAGACTTGAGAAAAATACAGTTCATGGCTGGGGACCATGAGGCAAAAGAAGTATAAAAGCAGACTTGAGTGGCTGGGGACCATGAAGCAGAAGTACAAAGATGGACTTGAGTAGAACACAATCCATGGCTGGGGACCATGAAGCAGAAGAAGTATAAAGACGGATATGAGTGGCTGGAGACCATGAAGCAGAAGTATAAAGATGGACTTGAGTAGAACACAATCCATGGCTGGGGACCATGAAGCAGAAGAAGTATAAAGACGGATATGAGTGGCTGGAGACCATGAAGCAGAAGTATAAAGATGGACTTGAGTGGCTGGGGACCATGAAGCAGAAGTATAAAGAAAGACTTGAGTAGAACACAATCCATGGCTGGGGACCATGAAGGAAAAGGAGTATAAAGCTGGACTTGAGTAGAACACAATCCATGGCTGGGGACCAAAAAGCAGAAGAAGTAGAAGTATATAAGACTTGAGTGGCTGGGGACCGTGAAGCAAAAGGAGTATAAAGCTGGACTTGAGTGGCTGGGGACCATGAAGCAGAAGTATAAAGACATACTTGAGTAGAACACAATCCATGACTGGGGACCATGAAGCAGAAGTATATAGATGGACTTGAGTAGAACACAATCCATGACTGGGGACCATGAAGCAGAAGTATATAGATGGACTTGAGTAGAACACAATCCATTACTGGGGACCATGAAGCAGAAGTATATAGATGGACTTGAGTAGAACACAATCCATGACTGGGGACCATGAAGCAGAAGTATATAGATGGACTTGAGTAGAACACAATCCATTACTGGGGACCATGAAGCAGAAGTATATAGATGGACTTGAGTAGAACAAAAATCCATGGCTGGGGACCATGAAGTAGAATAAGCAAAGGAGGACTTGAGTAGAATACAGTTCATGGCTGAGGTCTATGAATCAGCCTTAGCAGAGATAAAGAGGCTCTACTCACAAGTTCCTGGCCATAGTCCATCCAGAGGTTCAGCCTCTAGCAATGTAGTCAAGTCTCAAGTCCAGAAAAGGGGGTCCAGAGATAAGCAGCCCCCCTTCTTCTCAGCATCCAGATCCATCCCCACAGAGGAAAAAAGATCATTCCCTTCAGCTCCAGACCAGGGGGAGGACTGACAACTCATGGGGCCCCCGGGCAATAGGGGATCATGGGTCCCCTGTGTCCTTGCCCAAACTCAAATAAGCCTATAAAAAAGGTACCAGGGGCATCTCATGGGGCCCCCTACTGACCCCGGGCCCTCGGGCAGTGCCCGAGTTTCCAAATGGTCAGTCCGCCCCTGCTCCAGACTATTTTAACAGCAACCCAGCCACCGTCTGGGCACACCTCCCCAAGGATTGGCTAGGCCCTGCTCAGTATTCAGGCTTGTCTTTGAATTCTTCCTCCCTAGGCTTCTTCTAGAGGCAGAGAGAAGCAATCCAACTCCCGGCCTGTGAAACCCGGAGCAGACCAAACCAAACAATTCCTTCCTGTAATTACAACAAAAGCCAAAAAACGAAACTTGCCTAACAGTCTACCAAGATAATAAAGTGACATCGAGGAAGACTATCAACAAATCGAGCTGCAAATAGGAAGAAAACGATGGCAAGTTCTTTCCTGCAAGGCAACCTCAAGCAGCGAACTGAGACAGTTTTGTAGAGATCTGAGACAGATTTACCATTTTCACCAAGACACACAGTGAGGTCATAGTAAATCTGTCTCCTGCTTCAGCTTCACATTCATAAATCTCCTCCACCCTCAAATCATGCAGCAACAGTGACATCTAGTGGCCATATTCAGTTACACCCTACAGTCCAGTCGTGCAGCAACAGCGACATCTAGTGGCCATGTTCAGTTACACCCTACAGTAGTGCAGCAACAGCGACATCTAGTGGCCATGTTCAGTTACACCCTACAGTCCTGCAGCAACAGCAACATCTAGTGCTCGGGTTCAGTTACACCGTACTGTCGTGCAGCAACAGCTACATCTACTGGTCATGTTCAGTTACACCCTACAGTCGTGCAGCAACAGCGGCATCTAGCGGCCATGTTCAGCTACACCCTACAGTCATCCAGCAACAGCGACATCTAGCGGTCATGTTCAGTTACATCCTACAGCGTGCAGCAACAGCGACATCTAGCGGTCATGTTCAGTTACACCCTACAGTCGTGCAGCAACAGCGACATCTACTGGTCATGTTCAGTTACACCCTACAGTCGTGCAGCAACAGCGACATCTAGCGGTCATGTTCAGTTACACCCTACAGTCGTGCAGCAACAGCGACATCTAGCGGTCATGTTCAGTTACACCCTACGTCGTGCAGCAACAGCGACATCTAGCGGCCATGTTCAGCTACACCCTACAGTCGTGCAGCAACAGCGACATCTAGTGGCCATACTCAGTTACACCCTACAGTCGTGCAGCAACAGCGACATCTAGCGGTCATGTTCAGTTACACCCTACAGTCGTGCAGCAACAGCGACATCTAGTGGCCATGTTCAGTTACACCCTACAGTCGTGCAGCAACAGGACATCTAGCAGCCATGTTCAGTTACACCCTACAGTCGTGCAGCAACAGCGACATCTAGTGGCCATGTTCAGTTACACCCTACAGTCGTGCAGCAACAGCGACATCTAGTGGCCATGTTCAGTTACACAGGTTATAAAAGGAGTTAAAAAAAACCCGGTACATTGTATCCTCAGAACCCTAATAAAAGCCCCAAAAACTTCTATAAAAGTGCGCCAATGTCTATCCTGAACTCAAAGACAATTTCATACTCATAATTTCATAATTTCAATTTCATACTAACCGCCAAAGCCAAAGCCAAAGGCGACTACTCTCTCCTCCTCCTCCTAGACCTCTCTGCGGCTTTTGACACAGTCGACCCACCCCCTCCTCCTTAATAAACTACTCTCCCTTGGCATCAGAGACACCGCGCTCTCTTGGTTCTCGTCCTATCTATCCCAACGCTCCTTCAGCGTTTCCTACAACGGCGCCACCTCCTCTTCCCTCCCCCTCTCTGTTGGGGTCCCCCAGGGCTCTGTCCTTGGACCCCTTCTCTTCTCCATCTACACCTCCTCCCTTGGCAAACTCATACACTCCCACGGCTTCAATTACCACCTCTACGCTGATGATACTCAAATCTACCTATCCACCCCTCACCTCACCTCCACATTCTCCGCCCGCATCACTCACCTCCTAAACGACATCTCTGACTGGATGTCGCTCCATTTCCTCAAGCTTAACCTCTCCAAAACCGAACTTCTCATCTTTCCCCCTTCCCGTGCCCCCCCCCCCATCCTTTCCATCACTACCAACAACACCACCATCAATCCCGCCCAGCAAGCCAAAGTCCTTGGCGTCATTCTGGACTCAAACCTTTCCTTCCAACCTCACATCAAATCACTTACAAACACATGCAGGCTCCACCTTCGCAACATGCTCCTTCCTTACCCCAGACACCCCTAAACTACTCGTTCACGTCCCTGATTATCTCACACCTTGACTACTGCAACTCCCTCCTCATCGGCCTACCCCCAGTGCAGGCTCTCCCCGCTTCAGACCATCCTGAACTCAGCTGCCAGACTCATCCACCTCACCAGCCGCTCCACCTCTGCCACCCCCCTCTGCCTCTCCCTCCACTGGCTCCCCATTGCCCAACGCATTAAATTCAAAACTGCTCACTCTGACCTATAAAGCCATTCATAACACTGCCCCTAACTACCTCACCGACCTGATTCCCAAGTACCACCCTACCCGTACCCTTCGCTCTTTCACAGGACCTCCTTCTATCTTGCTCCCTGGTCTCCTCCTCCCACACACGACTGCAAGACTTCTCCAGGTCCTCCCCCATCCTCTGGAACTCACTACCCCAATCCATCAGACTGTCACCTTCCCTCCTCACCTTCAGGCGCTCCCTGAAAACCCACCTCTTCAGGAAGCCTACCCCACCCTCACCTGGAGCCCTGCCCTTCCCTCCTCCTACCAGCTCCATCCCCCACAGCCATTTCCTCCTGTACCTCTACCCCCTCCCTCCTAGATTGTAAGCTCGAAAGATTTACCCCTTGTGTGCTGTTTGTAGTTACTGTACTGTTTCATGTATTGTCCCCCCCTCTATTGTAAGCGCTGAGCAAACCCTTTGGCGCTATCAAAACTCGATAAATAAATAAATAAATACTCCTTGGATGAACAATTTCCGGAGGTATTTCTAATGCCTGTTATTATCCAGTAATATCTGACGTGTCTAGAAACACGCCCCGCCCCCCTTAGAAGCAAACCACAACGTTTATTAGAATCAGCATTTCCATTAACAACACCCCCACTTCGAGGTTCCATCTCCTCTGAGCCACGCCGCTGTGCTGCCTATTTAGCACATTTTTGGAGCGGCATCGTTCGATGGAATGGACCGACTTCAGCTCCAAAAATGCCCTCGGGGCTCATTTACACTTCAGTGTTAGCACACATTAATGAGCCCCCCGATTCAACATGCTTTATTGAGTGTGTTCATGGTGCTGGGAGCTTTTTGTAAGATTTAATGGAGCTCGGCAATGCTCTGTGTATGTGTTGATTTTTAAGGGGACCCAGTAAACCCCAGGTTTCCTGATTCCCTACTCAGTAGTAACCCTCAGCTCTGCGGATCCCTGCTCAGTAGTACCCTCAGCTTTCCTGATTCCCTACTCAGTAGTAACCCCCAGCTCTGCGGATCCCCTGCTCAGTAGTATCCCCCAGCTCTAGTGATTACCTGCTCAGTAGTAACCCCCAGCTCTGTGGATTCCCTACTCAGTATTACCCTCAGCTCTCCTGATTCCCTTCTCAGTAGTACCCTCAGCTCTCCTGATTCCCTTCTCAGTAGTACCCTCAGCTCTCCTGATTCTCTACTCAGTAGTACCCCCCCCAGCTCTTCTGATTCCCTACTCAGTAGTAACCCCCAGCTCTCCTGATTCCCTACTCAGTAGTAACCCTCAGCTCTCCTGATTCCCTACTCAGTAGTAACCCCCAGCTCTCCTGATTCCCCTTCTCAGTAGTAACCCCCAGCTCTCCTGATTCCCCTGCTCAGTAGTAACCTCCAGCTCTGCAGATCTCCTTCTCAGTAGTAACCCCCAGCTCTCTTGATTCCCCACTCAGTAGTAACCCCCAGCTCTGTGAATCCCCTACTCAGTAGTAACCCCCAGCTCTCTTGATTCCCCACTCAGTAGTAACCCCCAGGTCTGCGGATCCCCTGCTCAGTAGTAACCCCCAGGTCTGCAGATCCCCTGCTCAGTAGTAACTCCCAGGTCTGCAGATTCCCTTCTCAGTAGTAACCCCCAGCCTTGCTGATCCCCTGGTCAGTAGTAACCCCCAGGTATGCGGATCCCTGCTCAGTAGTAACCCCCAGCTCTGCGGATCTCCTGCTCAGTAGTAACACCCAGCTCTCCCGATTCCCCGCTCAGTAGTAACCCCCAGCTCTGCTGATCCCCTTCTCAGTAGTAACCCCCAGCTCTGCTGACCCCCTTCTCAGTAGTAACCCCCAGCTCTGCTGACCCCCTTCTCAGTAGTAACCCCCAGCTCTGCTGATCGCCTTCTCAGTAGTACCTCCTAGCTCTCCTGATTCCCTGCTCAGTAGTAACCCCCCCTGCTGATCCTCTAGTCTGCTAAACCTCCTCTCTTTCCGGTCCCCGCTCACCTTCTGCTATAGTGTTCCCATGTTGCACATGACATGTGCTGTCTACTAGTTGCTCTGTTCCAGTCCAGATCCCGCTCACCTTCCTGCTGCTCCTCAGTGCACACTAGATGTGATGTCTGCACCGGACACTCCCAGAATATATACACATGAACCAGAAGTGACTGCTGATGGAGTCTTTCCAGTTCGCTTGTTGGTTTCCCAGTGCATCCTGGGATATCTCATACCTCCAAAACAACTCTGAATAAAAGCCCCTCAAATGCTGCCAGTGCTGCTAGCAAGCTTTGTCGTAGACTTCTATGGAGGCTTTGGAGATGCTTTGAAGCACCAAGAAAGTGACATGAGGTATAATTTTCAAAGCAAAGCAAACACAACACGTGAACAGGTAGGGGCAGAGGAATCTACTGGTGGCCTTTTAAAAAAGTGATACATGTCCCAGCGGAGGAACACATTCTGGCAGATCCACTCAGCTGCACTTAAATAGACAGCGATAGGCTTGAACACAGAGGTATTCAAACAGGCTATGAAGCACTGGAGAGCCCCAGGCATAGATCTCCTAGCCTTTCTAAGAACATGAAGTGCAGCAGCTTGGTACAAATTCCCAGAAGCACTAGGAGTGGATGACCTCCCTAGCACTGGATATTCTCCATAGGGTATGTCTTTCGCCAGCATCCTTGATATCAAAATGGATGGAGAAAGTGGCTCAATTTTTGGGAGTAGTAATAGCCTCAGCCTAGGGCCACCACTGAAATTCCTAGCGAGGCCAAACCTTCTGAGCCAAGGACTCTTTCTTTAGCCATCACAGGATCAGCTCAACCTGATGGAGCGGCAGCAGCTCTCAAGGTGTTTTCTACTTCCAAAGCCTAACGGTGTGCATCAATGGCAACTACAAATATCGGATCACCAAATAGGCTTTTATGTGCCTCAGAAACAGGAAAGGTCTGCTGGCTTCATCAAAAACAATATCCTTTTGACTAGGGAGTCATATAAGATCAAAGGCTTTTCCTGCATCAGAAGGCCAGACACACTTAACAAGGGTGATGGCAGCATCATGGGATCCAGGATCTCAGCTGAGACCATCTGCAGGCCTGCAACATGGTCCTCAAGAAGGGGAACCTTCATTAACCACAACAGAACAGTTCCAGCTGCTCCTGTATCATTGGAATTCGGGGGAAGCATCATTTATTCTAGCATGTCCAATGTTTAATACATTGAGAATTACAAGTAACCCCTCTACTGCGTGATGATAAAATTCCATGATGCGCATAGAAAATTGAAAATTGTAAGACTGTCTTCCCATAATTTTCCTTTCCCGATGTATCTTCATGGCAGCACACTCCCATGTCATGGCTGGTTGATTTCCCTCAGAATGACCAATGGACGTAGTTGGGGCAAATGTATACGTAAAAGGTCCTATGGGGTTAAGAGATGGAGAATTAACCCATTGTGTGCTGCAATAGAAAGGGAAATGACAGAAATGTGAGTATACCATTTTCCATTATAATAATATACGAGATACAAAAAATTATTATGCTCAGGGTTGGGTTTTAATTTCTTTGACTTCTTATTAGAGTTGAGCTTTATTTAGAACATGTCGGCATGTATTACCAAAACTCTTCAAAGTACACTTGTTTATACTGTCCTCCATCAGATCTAAAGGTCAAGAAGCTGTGGAGGAAAGAAGGATCTACAAAAGTCAGACTGTCCATCCAGAAGAGAGATGATAATATACAATACTACCAAAAGTATCAGGCGGCCGGCCTTTCCACACACATGACCTTTAATGGCCTCCCAGTCTTAGTCCGTAGGGTTCAATATTGAGTTGGCCCCGCCCTTTCCACGCACATGACCTTTAATGGCCTCCCAGTCTTAGTCCGTAGGGTTCAATATTGAGTTGGCCCCGCCCTTTCCACGCACATGACCTTTAATGGCCTCCCAGTCTTAGTCCGTAGGGTTCAATATTGAGTTGGCTCCGCCCTTTGCAGCTATAACAGCCTCAACTCTTCTGGGAAGGCCGTCCACAAGGTTTAGGAGCAATCTTAGATCATAAAAGATATGTTTGTCAACTCCATCACTTATCATGTGCCTCATGTGTGTAGTGCTTCTCCTGCAGGATCAGCTAGAAAGTAGGAACCTCTGTTCATACCCTGACACGGCTAAAGGTTGCAACCCTTCTGATACCTCAGGTTACACCACCTTAGACAACATAGAAGAGTAATTTCACCGTAAACTAAGGTCACCCTGAAAGCAGACTACAGGCCTTGCCCTAGATAACTGTATAAACACTATATTGCCAAAAGTATTGGGCCGCCAGCCTTTCCACACACATGCAAACTAAAAAGTCCCAGCGCCAATCAAAGAAAGTATACAATTATGCAGCTGTGCACCAGTGAAAACCACCAATAATGAATAACACAAAAAACAGCACAAAAATTAAATAAAAAATATCACAAATAAATAAATGTCCGTGCAAAAAAAAAAAAAAAAAATATAAATATATATATATATATATATATATATATATATAATATTTCAAACATAAGTCCTTATTTTCCCAAAAGGATTTTCAAGACAATGTTCCAAAATGTACTTCCACCTGATCACCACGTGACAAATCATATTGACCGCACTCACCAGATGGAGGTGAGTAATAAGCCTCATAGGATATAAGGGATCCTATAGCCCCTCAGGAGGAACTCAAATCTCCTTCCTCACCCTGCTTAGATACAGCAATCGACTCCACTCTACTTCTCCATGGAATCCTCAATAATGTGCAAGGAAAGAAAGGCTACATAGTGTAATCCTGCCACTCAATACCATATAAATCCATAGAATAAGGACACTCACATGTTTCATACAATAACAGGCCTTGTTTAACTAGTTGCCGACCGCAGATAGCTGAATGACGGCTTCACTGCGGCCGGCCAGTTCTGAGTGGACGTCATATGACGGCCTCCCAGAACGCGCTCTCCTGCGCGCCCCAGGGGGCGCGCACACCGGCGATCTCCGTGATCGCTGTGTCCTACGGACACAGCTGATCACGTGATGTGGTAAAAGGCCAATCATAGCGGCCTTTTACCACATGATCAGCGGTGTCCAATGACACGCTGATCACAGGGAAATGCAAGTGCCGGTTCTCGGCTGCACTTTCCTCACGCTGTCAGATCGTGAGGAAAGTACTGCCGAGAACCGGCAGTTGTCAGAGCGGGGATCGGCACCGATCATCAGGGCACTGATGATCAGTGCCCTGATGATCGGTGCCCAGCAGTGCCACCCGCAAGTTCCGCCCACCTGTGCCCAGCAGTGCGCCCACTAGCTCCGCCCACCTGTGCCCAGCAGATCACCCACCTGTGCCCAGCAGTGCACCCACCTGTGCCACTCTGCAGTGTCACACACCTGTGCCCAGAAGTTCCACCTACCTGTGCCCAGCAGTGCCACCCACCTGTACCCACCCACCTGTGCCCACCAGTGCCACCCACCTGTGCCCACCAGTGCCAACCACCTGTGCCCACCCACCAGTGCTGCCCACCAGTGCCATCCACCAGTGCAGCCCAGCAGTGCTGCCAGTCAGTGCCACCAGTCAGTGCCCAGGGGTTGTGCCAGTCAGTGCCGCCAGTCAGTGCCCAGCAGTGATGCCAGTCAGTGCCGTCTATCAGTACCATCATCAGTGTCACCTATCAGTGCCGCCTATCAGTGCCACCTATCAGTGCTGCATATTAGTGCCGCCTATCCGTGACACCTCATTAGTGCTGTCTATCAGTGCCGCCTATCCGTGCCACCTCATTAGTACTGCCTATCAGTGCCCTTTAGTGCTGCCTATCAGTGCCCATCAGTGCCGCCTATCAGTGCCCATCAGTGCTGCCTCATCAACGTACATCAGTGAAGGAGAAAAAATACCTGTTTGAAAAATTTTATAATAGAAACAAAGAAAAACGTTTGTTTTTTTTTTTTTCAAATTTTTTGCACTTTTTTTTATTTATAGCGCAAAAAGTAAAGCGCCCAGTGGCAATACCACCAAAAGAAAGCTCTATTTGTGAGAAAAAAATGATCAAAATTTCATATGGGTACAATGTTGCATGACCGCGCAATTGTCAATCAAAGTGCGGCAGCGCTGAAAGCTGAAAATTGGCCTGGTAAGGAAGGGGGTAGAAGTGCCTGGTAGGCAAGGGGTTAATAGCCTCAAAGGCTTCAAAGGAACAAGTTTCCAAATTGTAAATATAGGGATCTCACGCTTTAAGGATCACTGTAGAGGATAACCAGCTTTCCACCTCTAAGATGGCCGCTTGAACCGCAAAAGTCGGCGTGCATTCCAAATACCAGAAGTGACGTAGGCCAAGATGACGGCGGACCGGAAGTGCGTCAATGCGTTTCGCCCCACCCACAGGGTGTTCTCAAGACCCACACACATGGCCTTTAATGGCCCCCCCAGTCTTAGTCCGTAGGGTTCAATATTGAGTTGGCCCCGCCCTTTCCCCCGCCCTTTGGCCCCCCGCACATGACCTTTTAATGGCCCCCCAGTCTTAGTCTGTAGGGTTCAATATTGAGTTGGCCCGCCCTTTCCACACACATGACCTTTAATGGCCTCCCAGTCTTAGTCCGTAGGGTTCAATATTGAGTTGGCCCCGCCCTTTCCACACACATGACCTTTAATGGCCTCCCAGTCTTAGTCCGTAGGGTTCAATATTGAGTTGGCCCCGCCCTTTGCAGCTATAACAGCTTCAACTCTTCTGGGAAGGCCGTCCACAAGGTTTAGGAGGGTGTCTATGGGAAGGTTGGACCATTCTTCCAGAAGCACATTTGTCAGGTCAGGCACTGATGTCGGGGGAGGAGGCCTGGCTCGCAGTCTCCGCTCTAATTCATCCCAAAGGTGTTCTATGGGGTTGAGGTCAGGACTCTGTGCAGGACAGTCAAGCTCCTCCACCCCAAACTGGCTCCTCCATGTCTTTATGGACCTTGCTTTGTGCACTGGTGGGCAGTCATGTTGGAACAGGAAGGGGCCATCCCCAAACTCCTCCCACAAAGTTGGGGGCATGAAATTGTCCAAAATGTCACCTTAAGAGTTTCCTTCATTGGAACTAGGGGGCCAAGCCCAATCCCTGAAAAACACCCCCACACCATAATCCCTCCACCAAACTTTACACTTGGCACAATGCAGTCAGGCAAGTACCGTTCTCCTGTCAACTGCCAAACCCAGACACGTCCATCGGATTGCCAGACAGAGAAGCGTGATTGGTCACTCCAGAAAACATGTCTCCACTGCTCTAGAGTCCAGTGGCGGCGTGCTTTACACCACGGCATCAGACGCTTTGCATTGCACTTGGTGATGGAAGGCTTGGATGCAGCTGCTCGGCCATGGAAACCCATTCCATGAAGCTCTCTACGCACTGTTGTTGTGCTCATCTGAAGGCCACACCAAGTTTGGAGGTCTTTAGCTATTGACTCTGCAGACAGTTGGCGACTTCTGTGTACTGTGTGCTTCAGCATGCGCTGACCCCGCCCTGTCATGTGACGTGGCCTACCACTTGGTGGCTGAGTGGCTGTTGTTCCCAGTTGCTTCCACTTTGTTATAATCCCACTAACAGTTGAGCGTGGAATATTTAGTAGCCAATGCCTAGGGGTTTTATTGTATACCCCTGTGTCCATAGAGGGAATTGGAGCACCTGAATCACATGATTGGGAGGGGATTGGAGCACCAATCACATGATTGGGAGGGGATTGGAGCACCTGAATCACATGATTGGGAGGGCAGGACCAATACTTTTGGCAATATAGTGTGTCTGAGGGTTACATCTGGGGGTCTTAGTCTCCGCTATTATATTTTTGCAGCAACAGTGACATCCTGTGGTCATTACAGGGAATGAATGTTAACTCTCGCCAATATGAGTCTGAAACAGTATGGAGGGTGCCAGAGCTCCATCTGGTGTCAAAAAATGAGTACTACATTTAAAAGTAAAGTTTACAACCAGGGATGGCTAAAAACATTTTTTAAAAATCAAAATTATGGATTTTTCACTATTTAACTTTTTTTTACAAAGGATGAGTTGATATTAGGTGAAAAGGAGCAATGTTATGAGCTGTGAGCACCGTCCTCTTCAGTATTTGATTGTTATCGGGGCTTTTTTTCAACAGGAATGCAATTGTGGCCCCTGCATTCCCAGGAACTCTGAGGTGTTAGATCACGGGTGTCAAACTGGCAGCTGAGATCAGGTGACAGTGGAGATAAGGGGGTACCTGCAGGAGAAGTGCAAGGGCCACATGAAATGGCCTGGAGGGCCGTATTCGGCCCGCGGGTTCTGTGTTTGACACCCGTGATGTACAGTTGCAGGCCTGGACTTTTCCCTGGCCTTCTTGATCTGCATACTCATGACAGGGCATGGATGCTGCTTTGTAACCGTTATTTTGACATTACAATACATAGCAGCCAGGCAATCAGCATTTTTAGAAGGAGATCCGCAGCCTGCGCTTTTCTCTACTTTAAAATGTTCCTTTGTATTGTCTTCTAATCTCGGGTAGTAGGAATATTTTATAGAATACAGAATGACCAGTGAGCTGTCACTGCCAGGAATAGGAGCCGTTAATGAGTTATTATAGTGGACCAAAGGTAAATGGGATCCAAATATCAGCCATACAAGTCCATGGAGCCACAGAGAAATCCACAGAGGAGAGCGGTGGATGAGGTGTGCAGAGTTGAGCAGTGGATAAGGAGTGCAGGGGGTACAGATCTGAGATGTGGAGTACAGGGGGTGCAGAGCTGAGCAGTGGATGAGGTGTGCAGGAGGTGCAGAGCTGAGTTGTGGATGAGGGGTGCAGGGGGTGCAGAGCTGAGCGGTGGAGGAGGTGTGCAGAGGGTGTAGAGCTGAGTGGTTGATGAGGGGTGCAGAGGGTGTAGAGCTGAGTGGTGGATGAGGTGTGCAGGGGGTGTAGAGCTGAGCGGTGGATGGGGTGCAGAGGGTGTAGAGCTGAGTGGTGGATGAGGTGTGCAGAGCTGAGCAGTGGATGAGGGGTGCAGAGGGTGTAGAGCTGAGTGGTGGATGAGGTGTGCAGGGGGTGCAGAGCTGAAAGGTGGATGAGGTGTACAGGGGGTGCGGAGCTGAGCGGTGGATGAGGTGTGCAGGGGGTGTAGAGCTGAGCAGTGGATGAGGTGTGCAGGGGGTGTAGAGCTGAGTAGTGGAAGAGGTGTACAGGGGGCGCAGAGCTGAGGGTGGATGAGGTGTACAGGGGGTGAGGAGCTGAGTGGTGGATGAGGTGTGCAGGGTGTGCGGAGCTGAGTATTGGATGAGGTGTGCAGGGGATGCGGAGCTGAGCGGTGGATGAGGTATACAGGGGGTGCAGAGCTGAGCAGTGGATGAGGTGTACAGGGGGTGTAGAGCTGAGCAGTGGATGAGGTGTACAGGGGGCGCAGAGCTGAGTGGTGGATGATGTGTACAGGGGGTGTGGAGCTGAGTGGTGGATGAGGTGGTGTGCAGAGCTGAGTGGTGGATGAGGTGTGCAGGGGGTGCAGAGCTGAGCGGTTGATGAGGGTGCAGGGAGTGCAGAGCTGAGTGGTGTATGAGGTGTGCAGAGGGTGCAGAGCTGAGCGGTTGATGAGGGGTGCAGGGAGTGCAGAGCTGAGTGGTGGATGAGGTGTGCAGAGGGTGCAGAGCTGAGTGGTGGATGAGGTGTGCAGGGGTGCAGAGCTGAGTGGTGGATGAGGTGTGCAGGGGGTGCAGAGCTGAGAGGTGGATGAGGTGTGCGGGGGGTGCAGAGCTTAGTGGTGGATGAGGTGTGCGGGGGGTGCGGAGCTGAGTGGTGGATGAGCTGTGCAGGGGGTGCAGAGCTGTGCGGTGGATGAGGTGTGCAGGGGGTGCGGAGCTGAGTGGTGGATGAGCTGTGCAGGGGGTGCAGAGCTGAGCAGTGGATGAGGTGTGCAGGGGGTGCGGAGCTGAGTGGTAGATGAGGTGTACAGGAGGTGCAGAGCTGAGTGATGGATGAGGGGTGCAGAGCTCAGCGGTGGATGAGGGGTGCAGGAGGTTCAGAGCTGAGTGGTGGATGAGGGGTGCGGAGCTGAGTGGTGGATGAGGTGTACAGAGGGTGCAGAGCTGAGCGGTGGATGAGGTGTGCAGGGGGTGCATAGCTGAATGGTGGATATGGTGTGTAGAGGTGTCAGGGATGTGGGTATGACCAGAAGTGTGTGGACTGACACAGGGAAACGCAGGCTTCATATATATTAATAATATAATTTATTAAGACTAACAATACAAACGCAGTGCAAAACTAAACATAAACACAGTGCAAACAAACCAAACCTCCAACAGATAACAAACATACAATACAAGAGTAGTCAGGCAGGCCGGGTCGGTAGCAAACGGGCAAATGGAGTACCAGGAGCAGGCGGGAGAGTGGTCAGGACTAGCCGAGGTCAGTACAGGCAGAGTTCAAGCAGAGTCAGGACAGAAGTAACAGGATCAGGAAACCAGGGCCAAGCGAACAGTACAACAAGGCACTGACTGCAGGTCTGGCCATCCCTTAAATACACCACCTGCAATCAGCCCCAGGTGGTGGCTAATTGCCGGAGTGAGCCTCTGGTTGTTGAGAGCACCCGCTGGCCAGTCCTGGTACTGCAACCCACAAGGCAGGTGAGTCCCACCACTATGGGCAAGTCCATTCCTGACAGTACCCCCCCCCCTCAAGGAGCGGCCTCAGGACGCTCCAAACCGTCCTAAATGGGCAAAATGTTCCACCGCCCGGATCCGGTAATTGGTGGGATATCAAGGACTGGTACATCAGGCTGGGCACCGGGCAGAGGCACATCAGGCTGGACACCGGACAGAGGCACATGAGGCTGGACACCGGACAGAGGCACATCAGGCTGGACACCGGACAGAGGTACATCAGGCTGTGCACCGGACAGAGGCACATCAGGCTGAGCACCGGACAGAGGCACATCAGGCTGGGCACCGGGCCACCAGGCGGAGCAGCGGGCACCAGGCCACCAGGTGGAGCAGCGGGCACCGGGCCACCAGGCGGAGCAGCGGGCACCGGGCCACCAGGCGGAGCAGCAGGCACCGAGTCATCTGGCAAGACAGCGGGCTCCGAGTCATCTGGCAAGACTGTGGGCGCCGAGTTATCTGGCAAGACTGCGGGCGCCGAGTCATCTGGCAAGACAGCGGGCACCGAGTCATCTGGCAAGACAGTGGGCACCGAGTCATCTGGCAAGACAGCGGGCACCAACCCATCCGGCGGAACAGCGGGCATCGAGTCGTCTGGCAAGACTGCGGGCACCGAGTCGTCTGGCAAGACTGCGGGCACTGAGTTGTCTGGCAAGACTGCGGGCACCGAGTCGTCTGGCAAGACTGCGGGCACCGAGTCGTCTTGCAAGACTGTGGGCTCCGAGTCATCTGGCAAGACTGCGGGCACCGAGTCATCTGGCGGAACAGCGGGCATCGAGTCATCTGGCGGAACAGCGGGCATCGTGTCGTCTGGCAAGACTGTGGGCACCGAGTTGTCTGGCAAGACTGCGGGCTCCGAGTCATCTGGCAAGACTGCGGGCTCCGAGTCATCTGGCAAGACAGCGGGCACCGAGTCATCTGGCGGTACAGCGGGCATCGAGTCATCTGGCGGAACAGCGGGCACCGAGTCATCTGGCAAGACTGCGGCACCGAGTCATCTGGCAAGACTGCGGGCTCCAAGTCATCTGGCAAGACTGCGAGCACCGAGTCATCTGGCAAGACTGCGGGCACCGAGTCATCTGGCAAGACTGCGGGCACCGAGTCATCTGGCGGAACAGCGGGCATCGAGTCATCTGGCAAGACTGCGGGCACCGAGTCATCTGGCAAGACTGCGGGCACCGAGTCATCTGGCAAGACAGTGGGCTCCAAGTCATCTGGCAAGACAGTGGGCATTGGGTCACCAAGCTCGACGCGGGCATCAGGTCACTAGGCACGACAGCAGGCACCGGGTCATCAGGCATTGGGTCATCTGGCTCGACAGCAGGCATCGGGTCATCTGGCATCAGGTCATCTGGCTCGACCGCGGGTACCGGGTCGTCAGGCATTGGATCGTCTGGCTCGACAGCGGGCACCGAGTCACCTGGCATAATAGGATCCTCAGGCTGGATCAGTTCATCAGGCTGGGTAGAGACATCAGGCTGGGTAGACACATCAGGCTGAATTGTGGGCGCCGAGGCACCAGGCTGCACCACGGAAGGCGGGTTTTTAAGATGGCAGGCTGACCGGTTTGGATACTGGCAGGATGGTATTGGTTGGAAAGAATTTTCGCCTTTTCCTGGTTTTATTTACCGGAGCACTGTAAGTAAGCGCAGGTTTGTAAACGGATGGAGCAGCTGAAGACAGAAAAGAGCTGGAGGATGGAACAGAGGAGGGAGCAGTTGCTACAGAGGACTTCTTTACAGGGTTAAAGGCAGGATAGGTGCAGCGAGTGGCAGCAGAGGACTGATATGTGGTAGTTAGCAGAGTATACTGGGCCGTCACTGGGGGTGCTGTCGAGGATGCAGGAAGAGTGCCTTGAGCGGAGGAATGACGTTGTAAACTGACTGAGGCTGGGTGCAACAACTCTGACCATGTCTGCAGTATGGGTTGAACAAAGCTCAGTTTACACAAAGCCTGTCTGGTCAAAGACTGCACTGCGTTTATACAATCCTTAATACCTGTTGTGAACATGCAGAATAACGCTCCAAGAAGCAATCCACATCATCCTCTAATAACCATACCAGGGACTCTACCTGTTCTGCACTAAATGGCGGCAAAAAGTCATTCCTGCTTTCAGGGGTACCAGATGAAGCCAACTCTGCACAAACCTGAATCAAAGGTTGCACCTCAGAGAACTCTGTGCCCTGATCTACTAGAACATGAGCGACCCGTATACATTCTAGCAGTTGATCCCGGGGATACTCCCTCAGAGCCTGATAAGCATATTCTCTGTCATCAAACACTAGCAGAGATAAATACACAACCTCATCAAGATCCATCCTTCCCAGCAACAAGCCAAGATGGCTTCCCTGTGCAGCCACTTCTGGTCAGGAATGGCCTTGTTGTAATGTCAGGGATGCGGGCATGACCAGAAGTGTGTGGACTGACACAGGGAAACGCAGGCTTCAGATATAGTAAATAATATAATTTATTAAGACTAACAATACAAACGCAGTGCAAAACTAAACATAAACACAGTGCAAACAAACTGAACCAAAACCTCCAACAGATAACAAACATACAATACAAGAGTAGTCAGGCAGGCCGGGTCGGTAGCAAACGGGCAAACGGAGTACCAGGAGCAGGCGGGAGAGTGGTCAGGACTAGCCGAGGTCAGTACAGGCAGAGTTCAAGCAGAGTCAGGACAGAAGTAACAGGATCAGGAAACCAGGGCCAAGCGAACAGTACAACAAGGCACTGACTGCAGGTCTGGCCATCCCTTAAATACACCACCAGCAATCAGCCCCAGGTGGTGGCTAATTGCCGGAGTGAGCCTCTGGTTGTTGAGAGCACCCGCTGGCCAGTCCTGGTACTGCAACCCACAAGGCAGGTGAGTCCCACCACTATTGGCGAGTCCATTCCTGACAAGAGGGTGCAGAGCTGAGCGGTGGATGAAGTGTGCAGGGATGTAACGTAACGTGTAAGATTTGAGTAGTTAAGATGTTATCAGTAGCAATATGTAATCATAACCATAGTGCATTCACATGTGACATAATTGTACAGATTTGAGTAGATTAAGTGTAGATTCATTACAGATGTATATTCAGTCAGAGGTACTCAGACAGTGGTCATCAATTAGCATTTGCCTTCTGAAAAGCCGGGCTTCCTGGATGTGACACCTTTTGTGTGGTAATAAGGTTGGCACCTTCTGGGAAAACCGGTTTGGAGGAAATGACAGCAGACTGGGTGTCTGCCTGACATTGAAAGCTCTAAAGGTATATCCATACATCAAAAGGGGTATGTTTAATCTCTCATAAAAGCTAAAATATTAGTTGCAGAGAGATGAACATGCTCCCTTCTTGCAGGGCATTCTGTGCGCTACATCTGCATATAAAAATCAAAATTGTGGCTTAGGTAGAAGGCCAGGAAAATGTAGGGAATGGTTAGGATTGCGACAGTCGAATGGTGTTTGGTACTGTTGCGATCGGACTGATGCGCTGGTGTCGGAAGTCCAATCTCCGACTTGGTGTTTGGGCCGGCCTTGGTCCAATTGAACTTGGGTAGGTCAGCATCCAGAGCATCCTGTGGGCGGGTGCAGGAGCAGCCCCCCATGGTCAATTGGCCGAGGACTAATGTCCCTCCTACGTCCATATCCCCATAAAAGGAGTACCTGGGCATTGGGACATTTGTGATTCGTATGGAGCTGGTCGATCGACTAACGGATTGCTAACTTTTCTGACTTGCTCCAGTCACAGGGTAAAGTTTTATTCTGTCTTTTATTCCCTTTTATTTTATAGTGAATAGTCATTTGTGTGTCTTCTTGTATTTTTTGTATTTCTTTAACTTTTTATACTTTGTACATATTTTATGCACTGCCCACTTTGGGAAATTAAATCTTAAAATAATTAGTGACTTCTGTGTATTTAAGCTCGTGCTCATATCTTCGGAGAGATTAGATTGGAGAGATTAGATTAGAGAGATTAGATTGGATTAGATTGTATCGTAGTTTAGTGCCTTTAAACGCTCGGTCAAGCTCATTGCCAATCTGTATGCATTTGCACTGTGTGTGGGCAGATTGCGTGCAGATTGTAAAGGTAACAGATCGGCCAGACGGAGTGGTGGATGAGGGTGCAGAGCTGAGCGGTGGATGAGGAGTACAGGGGGTGCAGAGCTGAGCGGTGGATGAGGAGTACAGGGGGTGTAGAGCTGAGTGGTGGATGAGGAGTACAGGGGGTGTAGAGCTGAGTGGTGGATGAGGTGTGCAGGGGGTGCAGAGCTGAAAAGTGGATGAGGTGTGCAGGGGGTGCAGAGCTGAGCGGTTGATGAGGGGTGCAGGGAGTGCAGAGCTGAGTGGTGGATGAGGAGTACAGGGGGTGCTGAGCTGAGCGGTGGATGAGGTGTACAGGGGGTGCTGAGCTGAGCGGTGGATGAGGTGTACAGGCGGTGCAGAGCTGAAAGGTAGATGAGGTAGGCAGGGGGTGCAGAGCTGAGTGGTAGATGAGGTGTGCAGGGGGTGCAGAGCTGAGCAGTGGATGAGGTGTACAGGGGGTGCAGAGCTGAGCGGTGGATGAGGTGTACAGGGGGTGCAGAGCTGAGCGGTGGATGAGGTGTGCAGGGGGGTGCAGAGCTGAGTGGTGGATGAGGGGTGCAGGGGGAGCGGAGCTGAATGGTGGATGAGGGGTGCAGGGGGTGCGGAGCTGAGTGGTAGATGAGATGTGCAGGGGGTGCAGAGCTGAGTGGTGGATGAGAGGTGTAAAGCTAAGCGGTGGATGAGGGGTGCAGAGCTGAGTGGTGGATGAGGGGTGCAGAGCTGAGTGGTGGATGAGGGGTGCAGAGCTGAGTGGTGGATGAGGGGTGCAGGGGGTGCAGAGCTGAGTGGTGGATGAGGGGTGCAGAGCTGAGTGGTGGATGAGGGGTGCAGGGGGTGCAGAGCTGAGTGGTGGATGAGGGGTGCAGGAGGTGATGAGCTGAGTGGTTGATAAGGTTTGCAAGGGGCCCAGAGCTGTGTAGTGAATGGGGTGTTCGGGGTGTTCAGAGGCAAATGTTGGACAAGGGAATGCTGAGTTTATTGAAGGAACAATCTACTCTTGCATGCCTACCTAGAAAAAATGTTTTTATTGTAAATAATCCAGCCATTTAAAAAGAATGAAACAAATATTCATAATATAAAACATCTTCACTTTTTCTCAGGGAGATAACATGGCAGATTACCACATCCGGCTCTACAAGGACTCCGACTATGAGACTGTGAGGGACATCTTTGCTCTGGGCTTTTCAGAACACTACCCTGTGTCCTTCTGTCATGCGCTCAGCCTTCCCCGAGTTCGGATCCTCATTCTTGTGGTGTTCCTCCTTGCTCTGATGACCACAGGCTCTTCTGTAGTCTCATTTATAGCAGCGATTGCTGTCATCTTTGCCTTGTTACTCCTGAACCGAGAGATATACTTTTCCTACATCAGGAAATGCCTAGCTGATGACATGTTGGATATCAGGAAAACCTATCTTCAGCGGGATGGTTGCTGCTTTTGGGTGGCAGAATCAGGAAAAGAAATTGTGGGCACGGTGGCAGCTGCCCCATTTCCCCATCCTGGTGGACAGAACCAAGTGGAGCTGAAAAGGCTGTCCGTTCCCAAGAAACACAGGGGCAAAGGCATCGGCAAGGCTTTGGTTAGCACCGTCATTGACTTTGCCCAGAAGTTCCGGATATCAGGACATAGTCTTAGTAACTACAATGTCCCAGAAGGATTCTGTCCGTCTGTACCAAAGGCTGGGCTTCAGGATAACGCACCCCTTTCATCCAAATGTCTATTTCGCCAAATTTATAGACTTTAAAGACGTTGCTTTCCTGTATGATCTTTCCAAAAAGCAATGAACATTTCACCTCTTCAGGTTCTAACAACGAACCAAGCACCACTGTGTCTTCTCAATGTGTGTCGGGCACATGGGCCCCAATGGGGATGGGCTCCACTGTGCACACCCTGGCTACACACAATGTGGATTTGAGTCAGAAATGGCTGCCTGTGCTCTCTGTATCTTTCCCCATTCAGCCTCCAGGACAATTACCTCCATCAGTTGTGTAATGCCTATGAAATGTGCTGGCCTTGGACCCTTTGTTTCTTGGGGAATTTTTACAATAAAGCATCGTTGACCAGATGCCAGGAGCGTGAGCCATTGATGTAATTTCTCTAGGCCCAAGGAACAGAGTCACAAGACATTAGACTGCATAAAGCAGATAAGAAGTGTTTGCGGGATTGAACGTGTTTGTGACATCTAGAAATGTTACATTAGACGGCTTAAATTACATAAGAACTTGTTTGAGCAATTAAAGATGTCTACTTGTTTGAGAAGTTAGAAATTTTTAAGTTTAGGGTAGATAAGAAGCTGATCTGAAGCAAAAGTGTGATATTCCTAGATAACGTTGTTTGTTCAAAATAGTGGCTGGGTGTGACTCTGTTATCTGTTAACCTTTTTGCTAGCTCCTCCTAGAGTGGGTGTGGTGCCCGCCCACTTCGGGAACCCGCCAGAAAAAGAGTTTAAAAATGGGAAGCTTAAGCGGGATCAAGGGAAGCAGCCTTCTTATGCAGACGAAGACGCTCTGACTCTTGCCAAGGCTATATGGGCTCATCGATTGGTCGCGTTTACAGCTTCCCCGTGACCCCCTGTGCAGTATGGTTCCAATGGGATCTGTTCCTTCCCGTCTTCCCATAGCTTTGGTAATATATTAATTCTATGCTGTGACGCTGTCAATGATGTGTCTATTTCATGCTGTAATGCTCACATTATTATTGGCGTGTATTACTATGCAGATTGTGATGACTATAAGATATATCCTCCTGTGTGTCGTGAGATAATAAAAGTGGAGGTTTTGACAGTGCAAGAATATTGCAGATGGATTCTGTTATTTCTTGGAGTTCCGGGTGAATGCCATGATGTGCCATTAAAGGTGTTCATTTGGTAGAGGGTCTTTCACATGCTTAGAATACTTAATGGTGTAAATGCTGGTTAAACGTACCTATGTGTGTGACTATTGTGTGTATATGACTTGCTTTTAATTATTGCATTCCAGCATTGCATTACAAGTTGCTAGGATTCCGATGTAAAGGGGCATCTGATGTGAGGAGGGTAGACTCTGGTGTGAGGGTGTCTGCTGTGAAGGAGGAGCTCTGACGTAAAGGGGGGCTTTTATGTGAAAGAAGGACTCTGGTTTGAATAGTGGGCTCTGATCTGAAGGCGGGCATGGGTGTCAGGATGCTTTGGAGTGAAGGGGGATTAGATGTGCAGGGGGACTCTGGTGTGAAGGGGAGGACTATGCTGTGAAAAAAGATTGCATAGTATTTATTGATGATTTTATGCATAAAGTAGGTTGAAAATCATATTTAGTGGAAGAGTTTTAGTTCATTTTTTTAAAATGCTTATGCTTTAACCATGTCTCTATAAGACCTTCCCACTGTTAGCGATATATGGCCACACCCGGCCTGTAAGGGGGGTTCGGGGGTTGAATGGTTTTGGTGCCAAAGCCCTACCTCTGCTATAGTCCTGCTAAAACACTGTCCCTCCTGCTGAGGCCAAACCCTCCACCATCTTGTGTCCTGCTCCTTGACAATGGCCTCCAAATGACGTTCCTGCGTATCCCCAAGAAAGGAATGTCCACACAAAAAAGTAGATAACAATATGCACACATGTAAATGACTGGAGTGTGCAAGGACTCTTCCTTGTTGGGGCCTCACGGGGGGCCAACTTCTGATCTCGCACACAAACCCACCACATTCAGAAAACGCCTCTGAAACACAACCATGGCTATTCTTGTCCCAGGTCCTTCCTGAAATGATATGTCTTTCCTTCCATTTGACTGCAGTCCATCAAAGTGACATTCCTGGTAGATTCTGAAGAGTGATGTCTCCGAGACTGCAGAAGTGAGATCACTGCACACTTGCTGGGGCAAAGTATAATGGGGAGCATCTCAAGATAGGAAACAACTCCTACTACCCGAAGATGAGAATATGGCCATGGCCAGGAAGGAGATGTGGCCACTGGAGAATTCTAAGAAGCTAGGAGACAACAAATTTCACTTTGGCCATTTAGGATAAAATAGAAATATAGGAGCTTGTATTGTTGCCGATTTATTTTGTTCCATAGAAAATGTTTAACATATCCTTTAAGATCCATTGCATCTCAATATACAGTAGTTCACCATTGTGTTCGCTTTTGTTTTTCATAAATTTCCCTCAGCGGTGACCCTCAAAATCTCATACCCCCCAGTTTCCGAGAGCTGGGTGACCTCTGTTTTTCAAAGAGCAGATACAGTTACCCATGACCCCCTGTGCAGTATGGTTCTGATGGGATCTGTTCCTTCCCGTCTTCCCATAGCTTTGGTAATGTATTAATTCTATGCTGTGACTCTGTCAAAAGATGTGTCTGTTTCATGCTGTAATGCTCACACTCTTACTGGTGTGTGTTGTTATGCAGATTGTGATGAGTATAATATATATCCTCCTGTGTGTTACCCAACCGGTCAGCTACCTGCCCCTTGCATGCCAATGATTGTGGAGCATTGATCACTGTGTTTCTGTGCTTGAGAGGTATTGGGCATTATTGTGTGCAACAGAATTTGACTGTTTCCACGAATGATACCCCACTGACATGAATGAAGTACCTGTCACGGCACTTGAGCGGCAACCACAAAATGTAGAGGAACATATTTGTCATGTAGAACTCAAAAAGGCAGTTCTGGTTTTCTAGGCGTCATGCCCATGAGTTCATGGAACCCCTCCTATATAAAAAAAAATGGTGATCTATGCCCTCTAAACATCCATGCATGCGTGTAAAAGACATAGTTCCCAGAATTGGCACCGAGCCACAAGCAGGTTACTTGAACTTTCTTCTCAAATTAACTGCTCTAGACTGATCAGAACACGGTCCAGGCGTTAAATTGTATTGTTGCTGGAAAGAGTATGCCGATACTTGAAGGTCCGTAGCCTGGCCATAGGTTTACTTTATGGCTCAATTTAGGGAACACCAAAAACATCGTCTTGTTGAATTCTTCACGCCGTGCTGCTCTCATCTCTCATATATATTTAAATATCTTTCATTCGCTATAAAAGAAAAAAAAAACAGAGCTCCATCTATTACAAGGTGGCATTTGGTGTGCATTGCTGTCCTTTGCCTGTATTTACTTGACTTGGGCAAGAAAAAAAAAATGCAAAAAAAAATTGTATAAGAAAAGATAGTAAAGCAATATCACTTATGGCTCAAAAAAAGGGAAAATACTTGAAACCCAGCACAAAACGATCAAGACCCGTCTAAGAACCTGAGCAGGAAAGGGACATGGTGTCATTAGTAATACATCTCAAGGCAATGTTCATGAAAATAAAGTTCATATAATATAATGAATCCAATAGACCAGGGGTGTCAAACTGGCAACCCTCCAGCTGTTGCGAAACTACAAGTCCCATCGTGCCTCTGTCTTTGGGAGTCATGCTTGTAACTGTCAATCTTGCAATGCCTCAGGGGACTTGTAGTTTGGCAACAGCTGGAGGGCTGCCAGTTTGACATCCGTGCAATAGATGGAATACACTGTTACGTCATCAGCAGTCTCTCCTTGAATGGAGTTCTGGCGTTTTCCCTCTGTGACAGGAGTCACTTTGGGTGGGGGGCCCATGGAACACAGCTCACTTTAGAGAGGTGGGGAGACCCCTGTCTCAGCTCCCCATATCCCTATTATGTGTAAGTCACCCTGTGCTTGTTAGGGGTGCAGGGTGATATGTTCTAATATTGTGTAGACATGTATAGGTGGGGTGGGGGGTTGTGAATTGTTTAATGCCATATGGTTGCATCCCATTGTTCTATTGTGTGTCTTTCTTGGGAGCAAACTATTATAGGATGTATGTGTTTGTGTATATTGGCTTGGTGGGGCGTGTTTCCGGCAGCCCTCCCCCTTGGTGGGATTGTCTGCTTGTGTGTCTCTTGTTACTGGGTGTGGATTGCCCCACCCATGTGTCATTATGCAGGGAGGGGGAATTGTTCCCTTGAATGTATATATCTTGTATCTGTGTTAAAATAAAGTAGTCTAATTCCTGATTTATTTCAAGACTGGTGTTGTCCAGTCTCGTATGGTCAGCGGTGGTGTCCGTGGTCAGTGTAAGCGGTATTATAACCGAAATACCCAAGCGCAGACTGGGACGGTTCCGTTACACCCATCAATGGCCATGTAAAAACAGAAAACAGGGAGGGGGTGAGAGACCGTCACTGCCTAAGTGTAGGAATGATAGGAAAATCAATAAAAAAAAAACTATGATAAGTATTGCACCCACATGTACATGGATAAAACACAGCGTATCAATGTGTTCAGTGGAGACAGGATGGCAGCATCTTAGGAAGACTCCGATAGATATAAAATGATAAGAAATATTGTGCCATCCATATGCTATCGGTACTCTGATGTGGCTTCCCAGTGGATTGCGTCCTCCTATTTTGTGCCCTACTCTATCTTATTCGTTATCGGTGTGGGATAGATGGCGAGCGCGCAAACCTTTCTCCTCTCCGCATACCCCATTAGCTCCAGTATTTGGTAATCCTGGGTTTGCTCCGGGTCTATCTCCATCGGTGTTCCAATGGTGGTTGAATAGGGTTTGTTGCGTATCGAAGACTATTTAGATGGATTTCGCCCTCGGTCCCTTCAACATTTTTTGACAAAATATCAGATGCCTCCCAAAGAGATATTTTGTTATCGCCAACTTCGATCTTTTATCACCAGCAAACTTAGATTACTCCCAGAACCTTGTGCGCTTACTTCCCTTGAGGTCTCCTGTGGGGCTAGTGGGATGATGCGAGGT